ATTCTAATCGTTTCCGATTTCGTATCTTGGGCTGAGTCCGGGTAAGCCGATAGAATCAAATCTTAGATACTTATCTATATCCTAATTTTGATTACACTACCTAACTAAGATAAACTAAGCTCTAATAAATAATAAAACAAAAAGATGCAATGTGGTTTCAGAGAAAGTGAGCAGCGAGGGAAAAATAGAGAGAAAGAGAAAGAGGGAGACATGGAGAATGAGAATGATTCTTCACCATTAGAGCAAGTGCCCCCTCCAAACCCTAAAGGAGGATGGAGAGCTATCAAATACATTCTTGGTACACAATATCATTCATCTTATAATCTTGTATTGAATTTTTTCTTTCATGTGATTTCTGATGGGGTTTTGGTTTGCCATTTCGTTAATTTTATTTCGTTGGTTGATTAATTTGAAGGGAATGAATCGTTCGAGAAGTTGGCTTCGATGAGTTTGATAGCCAACATCACAGTGTACTTGAGTACAAGATACAACTTAAGTGGAATATTCGTGGTAAATGTGGTTAATATATGGAATGGTACATCGAATGTTGTAACACTAGCAGGTGCTTTTGTGTCTGATGCTTATCTGGGCAGATTTAGTACCCTCCTCGTTGGATCCATGTCATCTCTCCTGGTAATAGTTATGATTCATCTGTCTCTTTTCCAATTAGAAGTTCTATCTCACTAGATTAATCATCAATTTCATCTAATCCATTATTTGGAATTTCAGTCAAGCATAACTAACATTGAAGTGAAATAATTAACCGATCTCTTATATGCTTAGAAGAATGGGAAATGTGCACACATACAAACCGGCTATAAACTTTCAATATAGAACCAAACCCGTTTTATATACGGCTTATCATCTGTTTAGTGTGTCCCATTATCTATTTTATTAAACGTTTGTAACTAGTTCTATTTATGCATATTTCGCTATAACAATTCAATTGTGCATTGTAATTATTTCTCATGCCTGTCCCCTGCATATATATTCTCCATCTTCTTAGGTTTTTCCTTTTGGTAGTAAAGTATCATGTAATCCAGGAAAATGATGATTTTGTACGCATGGTTGCAAATTTTTCTTTACACTTTTTCATTTTATTTCAGGGTATGGGAGCCATGACCCTTACTGCATCTATAGATAAGTTAAGACCCTCCACCTGCAAAGACCCCCAACATTGCCCTCAGCCCCAACCTTGGCAGCTGGTCTTCCTCTACATTGCTCTTCTACTGCTCTCCCTAGGAGCAGGTTGCATCAGGCCCTGCAACATTGCCTTTGGTGCTGACCAATTTGACACCAGGACAGCGAAAGGAAGGGCGCAACTCCAAAGCTTTTTCAATTGGTGGTATTTCTCTTTTACACTGGCTCTAGTTGTGGCCCTCACCGGAGTTGTGTACATCCAGACCAATATCAGTTGGGTCATAGGGTTTGTCATTCCCACTGCCTGCCTTGCTTCCTCTATCACCATTTTCTTGGTCGGCCGCCACACTTACATTTACTTGAAGCCTCAAGGGAGCATTTTTTTGGACATAGCCAAGGTCATCACAGCTGCCTGTCGAAAATCAAGAGTTACGGTTTCACTGGCTTCCGAGCACTCATTTTATGATCCTCCACTGAAAAATGCATCTGATCAGTCATATACGATCTTGAAGCTCCCTCACACTAATCGCTTCAGGTTCCTTGACAGAGCTGCTCTAATAACTAACCCGAATGAATTGGACAATCAAGGCAAGCCTAGGAGCAGTTGGAGGCTGTGTAGCCTCCAACAAGTTGAACAACTGAAGTGCTTAGTGGCAATTCTTCCAGTTTGGGTTACAGCAATCGGGACTTTCATGTGCATGGACCAACATAACACTTTCGGGGTCTTACAAATATTGCAAACGGACAGATCCATGGGACCGCATTTCAAATTCGCACCCGGATGGATGAATATCATAGCAATGCTTGCACTCGCAACGTGGATCTTCATCTACGAGCAAATTTACCTCCCGCTGGCCCAAAGAAGGAGCGGTAGGGACAAAAGACTGACGATGCAACAGAGGATCAACACTGGCATTGTGCTGTCCATTCTGTCCATGTTGGTATCTGGGATCGTTGAAGAGCACCGTCGTAAAACTGCTCTGAAACACGGATCATTCATTTCATCCGTGAGCTTTGGCCTACTCTTGCCACAGTTTGTCTTATCAGGGTTGACCGAGGCCTTTGCGGCTGTTTCCATAATGGAGTTTTTCACCATGCAAATGCCGGAGAGTATGAGGACTATTGCCGGGGCAGTCTTCTTCCTCAGCTTATCGGTTTCAAGTTATCTTGGCTCTTTGATAGTCAATATAGTCCACAAGGCAACCCAAAAGAATTGGGAAACGCCCTGGCTCGGCGGTCATGACCTTAACAAGAATAAGCTGGACTACTACTACTACATCATTGCTGGCCTCGGAGTTGTTAACCTTGCGTATTTCAATTTCTTTGCTCGACATTACGTAACGGTTGGAAGGTTTGGAAAAGGGAGAAGGGAGATGCAGCCGGAGAATCCGAGTGGCTCAAGAGACCTGGTGGAACGTGAATCGACGGACGAGGAGAAGGGGTTGGGAACTCATGCATAGATGGAGATGGACACAGATAATTATGTTATTTGTGCTATTTTGTTTGTTAAGAATTTCGTACATGGAAATGGATATAATTTATTGATGCTACTCTGTTTTTGAAAGTACATACATAAAATTAGATAGTACTAGAGAGAGCTGACTAGGGAGGGTTGGAGACACATGACATTACTTGGCCCTCATTCTTTTTTCTTTGATACAATCAATTGTTGCACTGTCTTGTGTTGTCACCAATACTCTAATGATACAACACATGTACTTATTTATTAAAACTATATAGTTCATGAAATATCAATCATATCGTTCATTTATATTATAACATGTGAATTAATTAATAACATTACATGATAGATTCATCATCACACTCAAAAACCTTCACGTTTTTAACATGCAAATCATTTGTTTATTTAACACTCAAAAACAAGTTCAAGATAAAAATGTCAATCAAGACAAATAGTAGCATGAACACCTCATATGTGTCTAGCTCATGTCCAGTTGCAAAGATGTAACGGAAACCACACACTTGTGGCTAGTGCAGTCAAAAACCAATTTCATCCTTTCATTTCATTGATGGATTATTTGATTTCTAACACGGATATCCCACGCTTCACAAGCTTAATTTGTTATTATATTCAAGTGGGGCGTGGGTGGATAGAAGTTTCAAGGCTTCAGATAAGCGTGTGTTGAATATATATATATATATATATATATATATATATATATATATATATATATGCACGCTTCTTATTGTGTCCCTTTCAAGGAGTATGATTCTTTCTTCTCTTTTTTTTCCTTTCCTTCCCTCCTCTCTTATTTAAATGGTTACAATTAAGCCACGTCATCATCTTTTATTAATTTTTTATAGAAATATAAAGACAAAATAGAGAAGGTGAGAGGAGGGGATGGAAAGAGGAGGAGAGAGAATTATAGTCCATTCTCAAATCCCAATCCCACCAAATTAACTCAATTGTCAATGCGGAACCTCTTGCCACCCTACTCCGTCCTCTTTTCATCCTCTCCTCTCACATTCTCTATTTTGTCTTTATATTTCTATAAAAAAAAAATTAATATTAGATGTTGATGTGACTTAATCGTAATCATTCAAATAGGAGGGAAGGGAAGGGAAGGGAAAAAAATAGGGAAGAGAATCCTACTCCTTTAAGAATTGGACTTGAAATTGAATTTGGAGTTTGCTGCAGCCTACATGTCTTCTTTTTTTTTTTTAACTAATGATTGTCTGTTTTATTTTTTATATGAAGTAACCTAACCAAAGACGATATCGTTCTGACCAGGTAATATTTTTAAAAAATAAGAATAAGAAAGAACAACTCCTCTATGAAGGATTTTATCAAGCGGTTGAAGGGGTATGTACGAATGACATTTCCAACATTTAAAAGAGCAGCACTTAAATCATCCATAAAAATTCAGCAAAGTTGGTAGGGTCAGCTAGCTGCCCTTGCCGCTTAATGGGCCTGCTGATTTTCTAGTATGTATTATTCTTTCTTTAGGTAAAAAACTTGTAAGAAAAGAGTGTAATAAATCATATAACCTAATTCAAAAAGAAAATAAGTCGTTGTAGGAAACAAATCCTATTTACACGTAATTATTACATTACTCATGTCAACACCAACTACAATGAAAGTCGACTCATATTTCTTGGTAAGGTTTAAGTAAAAATCTGTTGTCAAAGAGATTTGAGTTAAAAATCGCAAAACCTTTTCGTAACGCATATTATTTTTCCTCGTAGAAACATAAATCTTTTCTCTTCATGCTTTTCTACTTCATTGAACATACAAGAAAATACATGTTAACTTTTACACACGTGAATCATACAAATTGACAAGAGTGTGACTGAGAGTGACCTGAGTTTGGCTTCTTCCTGCAATGAGCTTGGTTGAGAATTCACACATTAATCTGTAAGGACGCATTCACATGAGCAGACAGAGAAAAACGAAAGGCTGGAAATCAAGCACACCAGAAGAGAGTTCAAATTCTCAACGTCATCGCCCTTACAAATAATACTTGCTTAAATAAGTTAAGGGCCTCAAAAATTAATTGGTAATAGGGTAAGTGACTCAACTCTTTATTAGTTATAAGCTTTTGCAAGGTTAATTTGTTAACTCTCCGATGTGAAACGATCTTCACTCACATGTCCTTTCATGAATGGCGAATTTTTAAGCCTAATAAGTAGACCATTTTAACCCAATGACCTGGATCACTTGTAGACAATCTTTACATCCTCTCCCAATTGCGGCAGTAGAGTCAAGATTGGCCACTCTATAATGCATCCATGGTCCAGTTGTTAACCGGCCTAAAAATGTAAGAACCTGACAAATATAATAATTGAGAGAGGGTAGAGTGATGACTCATCCTCCTCCTATCAAGGAGGAGAGCTTAAATAGGTGGAAGCTCATTCAGAAATCTATCAATTTATTTAGCAGATTTAGCCGTTCTCTAACGATAGTTATCACCTGCCAATACTTCGATTTTTATACAAAATAAAATAGGCAACGGAGAAAAACCGTTGCCTGAACCCAAAATTGCAGAAGTGACGGCCAGTAGCTGTACAAAGAGAGGAGGGAGAGAAAGTGCTTAAAATTGCAAGTAGAATGGCGAAGAATTACGAGGAGGCTATTACAAAAGATGAGTCTGAGATCAAGTACCGTGGCATCAAAGCCATGCCCTTTGTTATAGGTATAAGAAATAGTAGTAAATTAATTAATTTCCGTTTTTTTTTTTTTTTTTTTGTTTCGTTGAAGATCTTTTTCCTAAGTGCTCAATATGTAAAAATTAAATTGCAGGAAATGAAACCTTTGAGAAGCTAGGAACTATAGGAACTTCATCGAACCTTTTGGTCTATCTGACCACAGTGTTCAACATGAAAAGCATCACAGCTACAAATCTTGTCAATGTCTTCAATGGCACCACCAACTTTGCCACCTTGCCGGGAGCCTTCCTGAGTGACACCTATTTCGGCCGCTACAATACCCTCGGATTTGCTTCAGTTGCTTCTTTCTTGGTATATTTCTGGTTGCACTAATTTCCATTACATGAAAAAATTGCAACTAGAACTATGTCTGATTGTTTTTTCGTCGCAATGGATTATTTTCTGCAGGGGATGCTGATACTAACCCTAACAGCGGCGGTTGCAAAGCTGCATCCTCCAAGCTGTGAAGCAGACGGAATAAGTGGTCCATGCATTGGTCCAACACCATGGCAAATGGCATTTCTACTAAGCGGACTCGGTCTACTAGTTGTCGGAGCTGGTGGCATTAGGCCTTGTAACTTAGCCTTTGGTGCAGACCAATTTGATCCCAATACTGAATCAGGGAAGAAGGCTACCAACAGCTTTTTCAACTGGTACTACTTCACCTTCACTTTTGCCATGATGGTTTCTTTGACAGTCATCGTCTACGTGCAATCGAACGTGAGCTGGGCTTGGGGGTTGGGAATTCCTACGTTTCTCATGTTCTTGTCATGTGCACTATTCTTCATGGGTACAAAAATTTATATGATAGTGAAACCAGATGGTAGTCCATTCACAACTGCAGTGAGGGTCACAGTTGCTGCAGTCAAGAAGAGAGGACTGCAATTACCGGAGCAACCTGGGATTTCACTTTTTAACTACGTCCCGAAAAGCTCTATCAACTCCAAGATTCCTTACACTGATCAATTCAGGTAACTTAACTATAATGACTCATTAGTTGCTTTAGATTTCCTCTTGATTAGAATGTCTTGTTCCCTTTTAATTTTTACTTGAAAATTTTTAGTAAAGTTTGTGAATTTACACTGACCAAATACATTGTTGATATTCACTTTGTATTTGATAATATCAACAATCCCTTAAGTATTGTAGATTGATATCTGTAGCAATCAATCATTTCCTTTACAACTCGGCCTGTCAACCAAGACAAGACAATTATTTGATACAATAATTGAATCAGCATCAGCCTCATCATAAAGGCTTTATCTGGATCAGCCCCATAGTCAAACCAATTAATAATTGACATATTTGACTAACCAAAAAGTTAACACTATTGATTTTCCAGAATCCTTAACAAAGCTGCAATCATGACCAATGAAGACAAAATCAACCCGGATGGGTCAGCAGCAAATCCATGGGGACTTTGCAGTATGCAGCAAGTGGAAGAAATTAAGTGCTTGGTGAGAGTGGTTCCCATTTGGATCTCACAAGTTATATACTATGTTACCCATGTGCAACAACAAACTTATACAGTCTTCCAAGCACTGCAATCCGACAGGCACCTTGGCAACACCGGCTTCAAGATCCCCGCTGCGTCTTACACAATATTCAGCATGCTTGCCCTCACACTCTGGATACCAATCTATGACAGACTCATAGTCCCAAAATTGAGAAAAATTACAGGAAAAGAAGGGGGCATCACAGTACTACAAAAGATGGGCATTGGCATGGTTCTTGCTATAATAACCATGCTAGTGTCTGGCCTAGTTGAAGAGAAGAGAAGAAGCTTGGCTCTCTCTAATCCCATTGGAATGGAGGAAAGAAGGGGTGCAATTTCTTCGATGTCCGGATTTTGGTTCGTCCCTCAGTTGTCACTAATCGGACTGTCTGAGGCTTGCACAGTAATTGGACAAGTGGAGTTTTATTACAAGCAATTCCCAGAAAACATGAGAAGCATTGGGGGTTCATTTTTGTTTGTAGGGATGGCAATGTCCAATTACCTGAGTAGTTTTTTGGTGTCCATAGTTCACCATACCAGTGATTGGCTGCCTGAAGATCTTAACAAGGGGAGATTGGATTACTTTTATTATGTGGTGCTTGTATTGGAGGTTTTGAATCTTGTCTATTTCGTAGTACTTGCTAGGTGGTTTAAGTACAAAGGAAGTGGTGGAAGTGCCTCCGAAATTGGGATGGAGAATATGCAATCTGAGAAACATCTTGTTTGATAGACTAAGATCAAACGTAGCCAGCTAGCTACAAAATCGTGGTCTCGATTAGGGAAATCATGCAAGAAACAAGTGTAAAATTTTTTCTGTTACAATTTTACTTTACTCCACTTATGTACGGTTATTTTAAAGGAGCATGAATTTAGTTGCATGCAAAAATTTCTTACAGTATACCAAAAGAAAATTTTACAATTGCAACACGTGTTTGCTGTTTTGGTATAATGAGGTTGATCAGAATCACGAGAGATCAAATAATTAAGCTGTCTCCATCTCCAAGTCCAAAACGCAAACGAAGAGAGCAACTCCATTTGTGAAGAAAATGAAAGCTCGATGCCGATCATCCAGTGCACATATACCACAAGTGGGAAATATGGACTAATAATTCAAGCTACAAATATACATATATATATGTATGTGTGTGTGTGTGTGTGTGTGTGTGTGTGTGTGTGTGTATAATTTATATCTGGCTAACAAAAAGAAAGGGAAACCATATTGCATGACGCAACAGTTGACCCATGTCACTCATCCCTATGGTTTTAGAAAATGGAGTTTTAGCGAAAAACTCACGATAGGTACTGTTTAATTTAACGAAAAACCACGTTTTTACACTAAAAAATCAAACCTGGTACTATTCACTTTACTCTTTATTTTGTCCTTATCGTTAAAACTCAAAATTTTGAAAGTCTTTTCATTAATTTTCCTTTTAGAAAATCGAAAGGATATGAGAATTCAACATCTACATCGAAATATATGATATGATTATCATTAAAGTTCAGAATCTAGAGTTAGTTGAAGTGTTAGGTGACAAATTTTGTATTGTGAGCACGGTTCATCACCAAATTAATCTATTATTATTAGGTGTTAGATTTTATCGATAACATTAGAGATGAAAACTGTTATATGAGTAGCATTTTGTCGTACGGTTGATGTGGGATCCACTTCTTCAGCAGTATGATGATCAAATATGAGCATACTGTGAGGAACTTTCTGATTATTAAGATTCTAGATTCGCATAATTAAAGATTGTATCAGTAAAGGCCTATTCGGAAACGACTCGAGAAGAGTCGTCGATAGAATTATTTTTGGAAAGAAATATCTACCATGTGCTTGTACGTAAGTGCTTCCATGAACTCACAAAAATGATTTTGCCCTCCTAAAATCATTTTCCTAACGGATCCCAAAAGTATCTTATACGTAACTACTAACAAACATATAGGATATGAAGATCAAAATAAAAGGGTAATACTTCATCCACCAAAATTTTAAACAAAATTTGCAAATAAAATGATGTATCACTAATATAAAATAAACACGTTAATCAACATTTAAATAATAATCTAATTATCAACGTTCACATCAATTGTTTTACAAAATTTAGTTTAAATATTTATCCCACTACTTTTCTATTCTTATAATATTAGAATTTGTTGAAAGAAACCATTTTCTTTCTAATTTTTCCAATTAAACGAATAGAAGAGAATCGGAACAAGCTCTCCAATTCCAATGAAAATTTTGTGGTTTTAACTTTTAAGTCAATTACAGTATATGGTATTCTTCTTCATTGTAAGTAAGAAGTCTTTAGTTCGAATCTCGTAATCGCGAGTTTGCAGTCAATTTATTCCTTCAGCCTCTTAGTATAAATATATTGTTGAATAAAAAAAATTGTGAAGTGCCGATTTAGTCAATGAACTATCACCTCCGTGAAAATTAGGTCCCTGAATTATTTTTTTAATAAAATAAGTCTCTAAATTCGTTACAAATTGCTAATTTGATCCCTACTATTATAATCAAAGCTATTTTATCCAATTTTTCAACTTAAATCATTTGACACACTTTAGAGTGCATTATCGTCCTTTTCTCGCCTATAAGCCCCTACCATTTCATATAGGTTGCGAATTTAATGTATAATTTACGCTCCAAAGGCAACTCAATGCACTCTTTCTTTATGATAACATTACCAATCTACCCTCCAATGTGTATAACATGCAAGTAATGTGACTTAAATTGACGAAAATTTGAATATAGTAGCTTCGAATATAATATTAAGGATGTGATTGGCAGATATTTATAATTCAATGACTGATTTTTCTTAAAAAAATAGTTTAGAGACCTAATTTTCACTCAGATTCAGATGATAATTCAGGGACTAAATTGGCAGCTCACTGGTTTCAAACTATTTTTTTCAATTAAAAAAATCTGCACAATTCCAATATTGTTTGATGTTTCCCGCTACATTCTCATCTTTATGCCTTGAATATTCTTTGCAGGCGGATGCACGTATGACTTATCAAATCATAATAAGCTTGAATTATTGGATAAGAGAGAAATTTGAAATTTTCGTAATCTCTAGATACAGTCAGTTAATTTCCATCTTTATTATTTCGAAATATTCGGATTTATAAATTTTTCAATTGGAATTTTTTGGTCGGGATCAGAATTTTCAATTCAACATGCACGATTGCACCCCAAGAGAGATGGAGAGTCAAAAGAACAAAGATGACACTTTCATTTATTTTTTTCGTAGATATTTATCATGTTCAATCAACTCAAGAATTAAATAGTCAGTCAATATATTCTAAGTTGTTGAATGAAAAAGACGTAGTTACCTCTTTGTACTCGACCTACGAGCCATGTAATAGTTTTTAGGGTCAACAAGATCATCACCAAAAATAGTGGTTTAATGCATTGTTAGATGTTTTGCAATGTAAACAAAGACATTAATTTCCAATCATGATAGTACAATTGCAGCTAGCTTCCCTTCTATTTTACTATCATTTGCAATTAGGGTTATAGGGTTGGAAACAAGTACGATAAATTGAAATTAGTGTTACAGACAATTGCTTGCACCCAATAAAACAGAAGACTAGTGAAACACCAAAGTGTGACGACTACAGGGTCTAAGTGCACTTGGGGTTTCATGATCAGTGACAGTGAGTCGGTGCCTCCTGTGCCCACAATCCTTGTCGAGAAATTCTAGCATACAGCCGCGGTATGCGGCAGCCTCTCATAGGGGTCGGCCCTATCTGTAGAGGTCTGCATGCAGTGTTGTGGTTCAAATTTGTTTTTGACAACAATTAAACTTAAGACCACTCACTTACAAATGAAGAAGAATATCACTAGACCGTAGTACTAAGTGGCTGCATGCAGTGTTACACTAAGAACACATTGAAAAAATTACAAAGAAACTATCACACGAACCCATAATTACCGTGGAAGGAATGACTAAAAATAAAAAATAAGATCTTGGTTTGGGAGATGTTTATAAAATTTCCTTACCTTTTATCATTGAAATTGTAGGAAATTCCAATGTATGCTTTCATCAAAACGTAAGCAACTTTTCCTCAACTAAGCTTTGTTTTTTTCTTTTCCTAACTTTGTAGAATCTTGTTGGGTTGTACTTTTTGATGAAATTGAGATTCCACCATAAAATCGATTGGTGATATGGGGAGTAGCTCAAGACCATATAAGCACATAACAAACATTATCCCTCACCGATGTGGGACAACTCTCAACACTTTTTCCTGCAATGTTACACGAAGGGGTTGAAGCCAAGGATGAGTAGAAACCACTGGAATGCCTTCTCGTACTACATCTTCTATTTTCCTTTTTGAGGGGATTTACTATATCGCATGCGAAAATAAAAGTTTGGCATCGCAATATTCTTTATTCAAAGTTAACCGATTTCAACAACATAGGAAGAAAAATTAAGGGATTAGATGTAGCAATAATCCAGCATTACATATAGATTGTGTATGATATTTATAGAAGTTTCTTTCTTTCAAGATTTAATTTTGAGACTAATATTCGATTTAACCATACCATATATAAATTAGCTAGTGGACTTAGAGTCACATAACGACTTGTTGGTCCAACAAATCTCAGAAAGCATATGTAAATACTGCTCAAATCGAGATAACTGCCAAAGACAGACAGGACACTTACTCAATCGATTAATCCGGTAAAATACAAACTAGTCGTGATAGGTAGCTCGGCTGCATGTGGTAGAGCTGCTCGATTAGTGTAGTTCTAGCTCGAATGAGACTAGCGTAGTGTCGGATGAGACCAAATACAACAAATCTCTTAATACGGTGAGAAGTCTCTTAATATGATGAGAAGTGCTATGTGAATGACGTAGTCAAGTTTTCTTCCCCCATTATATAGTTCGTTTTGATTCCTTTTTTCTTAAAACATGAGAGCAATCATGGAAAACAATGAGATAGATAGCCTGGAGAAGAATAAGAGAGGTTCTACAGGTGAAGAACCAATTATATACAGAGGATGGAAAGCGATGCCATTTGTCATAGGTGAGTGCAACTTTTTGCTTTCTTTTTGTTTCATGCTCTTCCCATCAGATTAATTTCCTTTTCTCTTCTGTTTAATCATGAATTTATCTTATTTTTTTTCACTTATTTTTGAGCAATCCATCTGCATAAAATTTCAGGAAATGAAACATTTGAGAAGCTAGGAGCCATTGGGACCTTGGCCAACCTCTAGGTCTATCTTACTAGTGTATTCAACCTGAAGAGAATTACAGCTGCAACTCTTATTACTATCTTCAGTGGCACCACCAACTTTGCAACCTTGCTCGGAGCTTTCGTTACCGACACTTATTTCGGTCGTTACAAGACGTTGGGATTTTCGTCGATCGTTTCTTTTATGGTATTTACAAAACTACCATTTTTTTACTTTGATTCATTTTCGTTGTCCAACATACAAATATTAGGGAAATATGCACAAATAGACATTAAATAGTATATTATAAACCAACGTTGAGTGCCTCTAAATTGTCTATTTAGCGTCCATCTAATTCTAGTTATATTAAACATTTGTAGCGGTTCTATTAGTGCATATTTTCTCAAAAATTAAGCTTTGATTAGTTTCTATTTCAAGGTTTCTTACCTTTTTGACTATTTGGCTCCAAATGTATTTTAACGCTCGGAGCTTTCATTTCTAATACTTAATTATCTCAATCATTATAAAATGATGAGATATTCGGATATCACTTCCTTTAAGGTACTTACAAAACTATTGTTTGCTACTTTGGTTCATTTTCAATGTTCAACATATGCAAATTCCAAAAACATACACACAATTAAGCAATAAGCCGTTTCTAAACCATATTTTAGTGTCTCTTTGTTATCTGTTTAACGTCCATCTGATTATATATTTGATTAAAAGTTGGTAACTAATTT